GTAATTCAAAGTGTCACCAATCTTTAGATTGCACTAATAAGTAAGTACAATTTTATCATATGTTTTGCAAATTCATTTCCCTAATTGTAGTAATATTTTAAACCGTTTGATTTTTGTATTAAAGTTTTTTTTAATTGATTGATGATTGATTCAATCAATTAATTTGTTGATTGTTTGATTGTATTAACTTGTTTCTTTATATATTGAAAATTAAATAAATAACATTATGTTAATTTAAGCGTACAGAAAGAAACGTTGCTGTTGTTCCAGCAAAGATTTTATTTTCACTTTACCGAGTGCCTAGTAGGTAATTCGCAGATTACCTAGGTAATTTGAGAAATGGAATAATTTTCGCAGCTTTAACGGATTACCCTAGTTAATCTGCAGATTAGCTAGGTAATGTACACATTAACGGATTTCGAGCTTTAGCGGTAACATATACACCAACAATTATATTTTTTTTAAAGTATGTTAGTCCGTAATATTCGCAATCCAAAAACAGGAAAATACATTTTTTAAGACAAAAAGTAATAAATTTTACGTACAGAGATATAAGCTACGTAAGTAAAGAAAACAACGTGGTTCCTGAATTTGCATATGTTTTAAGAAACGTTCAGTTTGACTATGCACAACAAAGGGTGATCGATTTATTTTGTCAAACCTCTGTATAAGCAGCATATTAAAAATAATCTGAAAACTAATAAACATTATTGAAGTAACCTATGAACTATACTATTTACAGTCATATAAAAGGGTCCTTAGCCTTTTTAAATGACTCCTTCTTGCCCTAGTTGTTGCTTTAATTATTCAGAAAGGCTAAGGAAATAATAGCATGGTGAGAAAATGTAACCTTTCTTTTTAATGAAAAAAAAATGTCAGATCCTCTTATAAAAGATAGACGTTTGATTTAAATTTTAAACTTTGTGTAAATTTTATTTTATATTATTTGTCGATTGAATGAAGTTTTTCTTGAAGCCGTTTAACTGTTACATATATGGTTATGTAAAAAGATAAGAAAAAGACTCGAAAATGATTAATTTTTGTAAATTGTCTTAAGCTTCAAATTGAACATATTCTGAGTCAACATCAAGTATATCTGTATATAAATATTATTGCAAAATATTACTTAATAAATATGTCTGAAGTCGTAAAAGAGTACTGTATACTTTTAATATACAGTACTCTTTTACGATTTCAGATGATTATATTATTTAAAAATGACAAATGTAATTAACTTATTTTTTTGATACTAGGAAGCAGATATGACAATTGTTCCATTATATATTACTTTGGATCGTTATTCTGCTGTGGAATTTTCTACATCAATAGCATTTCAGTCAACCGTTTTTATTGTTAAAGCTCCAGAAATGATTTCAAACTGGAAATCTATCGTAGCTCCGTTCTCATTTATGGTAAGAAATTTTTGTCTGAAAACTAATAATTTGACAGTGATTACAATATTTATGCATTCTAGATATGGATATTTATAATTGTCACTGTAATTGTATTTGGATTGGTTTTGCACAAAGTAATAGAAAGAGATTTAACTGCACAAGATATTCAAGTATATTGGCCAAGACATAAAGTCTTCTGGAATTTATTTTGCACTTTCTTGTATAAGGGTAAGAGCATACATTACCTTCAGGCAATATTACCATTACTTTCTAAATTGAATTTTGGGTTTTCAGGAATGAATTTGAATTCAATAAAGAAATTCAGATCCAGATTTCTGATAGGAATATGGTGGTTGTCTATCCTCGTTCTAGTGTCTAGTTATAGCGGGACTCTAATGTCGTTCATGACGTATCCTTTACATAAACCTGTTCCAAAAACATTCGATGAATTAGCAGCTTTCGTCATTAAAGGTGAATATTCGTGTGGAACAAGCGGAAAATCTGCTTTATGGCTATCCATTCTCGTGAGTAAAGCTATTCTACATAACTCTAAATAAAGAAATAATGTATGTTTTCACATCGTAACTTAGTAATCGTCTTGTCAGAATTCCAAATTAAAGACAGCTGAAATATTACGAGATAACATCATACGAAACGACAACTTTTTAGAAGCTTCGAGAGCCATGGAGAGAGTAGAACAAGAACATTTCGCTTTTATACAAAATAGTTATTTAGTACGAAAGTTAATCAGGAAAGAAGATTTACATAAGTACGTGATTTCGAGCGACTCATTTGCTGTATTTAGTGAAGCTTACGGAATGAAGAAAAATTTCTCTTATTCAAAAAAAGTAAATAATATGTAAGCTATAGTCTTGTTTTCTTATTTTTCTTATTTTATCCTTTGATATATTTACATTTATTTTCTTTTTTTTACAGCATTCATCGTCTATTCGAATCTGGAATCGTGGAAAAAATCGATTACTCTGAATATTCCAAAATGATGATACATTCAGAATTTCAACCTTTAACAATCGATAATATTATAAGCCCGCTATTATTACTCGTATTGGGTTACATATTGTCTCTTCTGTGCTTAGTTATCGAGATAATTTATACAAAATTAGTTGCTTAATAATTCTGCTGTAAATTTACTTAGTATAATTAATAGTTAAATTGAGTGTTTGCTGATTTATTTTACAAATGAAAATATATTAGTCACGTGAATTACAGTCAATTAAAAAAGTTTAAGCGACTTAACTTCATCAAAATTTCATCCATTAAATGACGATAACTACGTGAAATAATAATAAAAAAATCATGAAAAATTAAGTAATTAAATATTCAGCTTGGTATTTTAGCTAAGTTTTAATCTTACAGTATTAATTTGTAAATAAAGAGTTCGAGAGTCTTAAATTTTTACTTACGTAAATAGTAGTAAAAAAGTACGGATTATTTTATTTTAATGTTTAATAAAAGATAAATATCGTATATTATAATAAATGTATTGAAGAATGAGTCGCATTTTCTATTACGGTTTTTCTGTTTTGTTACAAATTAGAAAATTTAATTTTAAATTAGGTGTGTGACAAATTTCATCTTGAAATTATAATTACTTTTCTGACGTACAAAAATATAGGTAGGGCTACAACAAACTGAAATGATGGTTTTATCAAAATTAACACTATAAAGTCTTTATTTCGTTACTCGAAAGAGGGAGTAAATAAACGCTTTACCCTCTTCATTCTCACGTAACAGGATCATTTTTAAAACGTCACCTGTTTAGAATTTGCCAAATACAGATATTGATGTTTACTTATTTGATGGTTTTCTTTTATTTCTACTGATATGAAAACGTCATATAAAAAGCGAAAAGTTTTCTGTCAAATATGAACATGCAGAGAAACAGCACTTGTCTAAAAAAGCTAAAAACTATACTCCAGTAAAAAGTTTTTAATGCAAAACATTCTTTTTCTTTCGTTTATATTAATTTTCTTAATAAGTCCGTAATATTGCACACGATTAAGAAAATAATTAAGGAAATAAATTTTTACCATTATCAATAAGATATCTTTTTATATTCTATAGAATTACAACAGAATAGAAATGTTGTTTTCTGAATTTTCAAAAAAATTACAAAGCGGAAAAAAAAGATTCCGCAAACTTGTATTGAAAAACATTGCAAAATGATCTTATCTTTTGAAAATACCGATCTTTAGCAGATGGCATTTAAAATACTCGTTTTTTGGTAAACGAAACAGAAAATTAAGAAAAACTCTATATTGTTCAACCTTTAATTTGAAGATAACGTAACCTAAAATCAATTATTAAACAAGAGTTCTCATTATTTTGTGCAATCCTGTATTTTTACTACGAATGAATTTACTGCTGTAGTATGTTACAAGGAGATTTTTTAAAATTTTGACAGGCTTCCTTCTGTATTGTTGCAATCAGTGACAGTTGGTAGAGGGTTACTTGAATGTATTTTATAAAAAAACACAAGTCCTATAACAAATAACCTTTTCTTAAACGACATTTATTGCAAATTTGAGAATATTAACAGTAAAGCACACATTAATTAATTAAGCGTCACATTTCATATCACTGGTTTGACATTGAAATCCGCGAGTAATATAAAATCGGAGAGTGGAATAAATATATCAAATATTTTAATGGGTTTTTTTAACTCCCGTCAACTATACAGAACTATCGTAAAAACATACCTGTAAATTCTTATCGGTTGGGTTAAGTTATAAACAAGGCTGTGTAGTCGGAGTCGTGGGTTTTGATGTTTTAGCCGGAGTCGGAGTCGGATAATAAGGAAAAGTCGGAGTTGGAGTCGGTAGATTTTTACGCGACTCCACAGCCCTGGTTATAAATCTACTCGTTATTCACGTAATGGGCCAAATATCTAGCGAGCGGGCTTCTAACAGCCCGGAACCGGTCCCGGATAGAATTGGAAGCGTTGAAATGTGTAGCTTCAACCCAAAATTAGGCTTCCACCGGCTAAACCGGGTGAGGTTGGTGCTCTGTAAATCGCGTGCGCAAATCTGACTTTTTGGAATTGACAATACAGACATTCCACTCCTCCACTAATTTCTATACTACACGTGAAAAAAAATGACATTTACATTTTTTTTCACGTGTAGTATAGAAATTTGTAATAAGATACATAATGCGGTTATAATAAAATATTGTGAGATTATTTT